CGCTCAAACACTATCAAACTGACAAGATCTTTCACTGTCTATAGCTGGGTACCCATTTCCACCTGGGTGAAGTGAGGAAAATTCGTGTAAACAAGGACACAACGTCGGGCCCCTGACAGGATTCGAACCCACGACCTTACGGTTGCGAGTCCGAGAGCCTAACCACTAGGCCACCGACGCCATTCATTTATCTTGAATACAAGTCGAGATATTTGCAAATGAAGGAGGTGGGGGTCACCTGTCTTCAGAGGTAAAATTAGTGAGAAAATGACCACCAAAGATTAGTTATTTCCTTAGCTTAGTCCGTGGCAACTGAAAATTTACATTTATTGTATCTTTAATCAACGTCTTTCAGAAAAATCCACACAGAATTGAGTCCTTTAATGGGTATGAAGGTGTTGAACCAAAATACAAAAATTAAAAAAACCTACGGAAACATGCAGGTTTCTTCATTTTGATTATATTGACGAGAGCCTGATTCCACCACGCTGCCTCACAAGTGCTGCATTCTTCAGTCACAGCGGGACTCTGTTGGTGGTCTTTTAGCCGTGCTTTGTACACCGACGTATAGTTCCATGTATACGCAGACATGTACATACGCGTTTGTACATGTGTAGATGTGAGTATATTATGTACAGTACAGACGCTCTAGAATGTCTGTCTGTCTGTCTGTCTGTCTGTCTGTCTGTCTGTCTGTCTGTCTGTCTGTCTGTCTGTCTGTCTGTCTGTCCGTCTGTCTGTCTGTCTGTCTGTCTGTCCATCTCTCTATCTGTGTCTGTCTGTCTGTCTGTCTGTCTCTCTGTCTGTCTATCTGTCTGCCTGTCTATCTATAAAACAGTATAATCGAGTAGACCACAGTACATATCGTTCGATCTCGACCATAAGGCCGCGTACCACCCTGTACGTAATGTGTACACACTCTCGTGATGGTAGGACCCTGGTACATATTACAATGTATTATGTACACACAGAGAGGTCCTGGGGTCCCTGTGCACACATCCTCTTGTGCTGATCGTCTTCTTTGATTATCGCCCCTCACTAGGGCTGGGCAATGAGTCGCTTTAGCAAAATCCGGACACTATCTTAGTGCACCTCTTCGGCAAATAATATGATCTGAACCGCTTCGGCAAATGGGTTAGAATCACTTCAATAAGCGGGTAGCATCATTTCAACTAATAGGTGCACCCACTTCGGCAAACGGGTCAGGGAAAAAGAGAGTTAGGGGTCTGAATTCGGAAAATGTTTCATTGAGAATTATCCGGTTATCCTATCCGGATTTTGCCCACCTCTACCCCTCACTTCTGACAATATCGACGCTTTGCCCTCGACGACAAAAAAAAGACATAAATCTCAGAGATAAGCGACCGTTAGTAGATCTAGTACCTCCCTCCACACTTTTCCAAACAGGTTCTGAATAAATAGAGGAAAGTTTTAGGGTACACGTGCGAGGCATTTGTCGAGACGGATGGAAAAAATGTGACGTGGTTAAGTGTTTTTTAGTTGGTAGGACATTTTGAATTTTGCTCGGGTGGCAGCGGAAGCCTACTCTTATCGATCGATTTTAAATAGACCAACAAGGGATCTTTAACGTGCGCAACTTTCACACGGGCCCTCCGAGATTTTTCGCCCTTGTCCGAGAAGGCTGGGTGTAGATTGTAGATCTTTCCTACCAGAAGATCAGGGGTGTCGCTTAAAGAGTCAGGAGCCCGGAGGAGGGGGCAAAGGAGGTGAGGAGGGCGGGAGCAGAAAGAAAAGGCGAAAGCAGACAACAGAACATTGCTAGAGAGCAGGAAAGGTGAAAGGAGACAATTTTAGAGAAGAAAATTTTTCGGCCGCTACTCGGATTTGAACCCGGGGCGTTTGAATGAAAGGCCAACGCCTTAACCTCTAGGCCACGAGAGACCCTTGACGTGGTTCAGTGGTTGGGCTGTTGGAAAAAAGTTGGGTCAATCTAGAAAGAATGCCAACACACCATGCTGAGCCTTTTCACCCCCCCCCC